CCCGCGATGCAGGTTGCAGCACCGCACCCAACGGCCCCTTTTGTTGGAACCTATGTTGCACACTTGCACTGATACGGATACGAGAATGACTACGGAAACGGGAAACGACAATTTTTAAAATTATTGGGTACAAGGACGACAATGGTACGATATATAAAAAATTTAAAATTATAAATAGAAGTAAAAAATCATAAATAAAATCAATACTTTATAGAAAATTGGTGTAACACCCTAATTAAAATCCTAACATTTGATAATTTTTTTCCAAATACCTAAATTGATTTTAGTGTCAAATTTAAAAATACTGCAAAAATTGTTGTCAGATTCGAAAGTCCGAAAACGCTCAGGGACCAAATAGCAATTATACCAAAAATTCTTTATACCCTATTCTAAATCTTCTTTCTCCCAGCGGCCGCTTCTTCTTCCTTTTATTTCTTTTCTTCCTTTTCACAAACCTTGAAGTGGTCACCGAAGAGGATGAAGGATGGCGGCAGTTTAAAGACGAGGACATAGGGCAAGTAGCTTTGGGAATGTCGTGATTGGTTTTCAGATGTCATTATCGGCGCTTTGTTTGTGCTTTTCACCGGCGCTGCTTGTGTGTGTGCGGTGGTGGCCAAAATTACTCCTGGGACGTCCCCGAAAAGTCCCCAGATAAGCTTTGACCGTCCTCGAATTCGGCCAGCGGAACCTATTACCGTGGCACGTCCCCGATACGTACCCAGCTGTCCCTGTGCCCGAAACGTATCGGGTAGTTGGCTCCATTGCCGTCCCGTGCTTCATAGGTTGGAACAGCACCAGTATGTACCAATGAATGCCTACCGGCGGCCGTGGCCTCATGTAAGCCAGGATTTCCTTCCCTGAAACATTCTCACTTAATCAGTAGTATTAAAGACTGTATTATTGTCCCTACCGAAGCCACGTAGACAATGTGGTTACATGGCACGTGGGAATATGTAAGAGAATCCAAAGCTAGGATGGGATGATTCTTGTTGTTCAAACAACTAACCATGTGTCAGATCTGTGATGCATGCAATTGCAAAATACAATGAACAATAGAAATTTCAGGGAAAAATTATTGGGTTGCAGCAGTGAGTCAGTGAAATACAGTAAGGGAATTTTCGTTTTGGACAAGAACATTTGTTAAGGTTGTATTGGATCTTTCATCTCTAATTAAAAGTGGCACATGTATTTTTCAATATCTGTTCTACTGCTGCAAAGCAGCAAAATCCAAAATGTTTGTCTCAGCTCTAAACAATTTTCCCCGCAAAAAAGGAAAAAAAAATTGTAGGTTGCATGTATGCATGCATTCACGCATGCAAGAATTGGTTTAATCTCGATCGGCTGAGATGAAAGAGAATGGAAAGAAAATAAAACTAAATATCATTATAATTACAGGACTTGTTTCTGCAGAAATATGATTTCCCTCACTCAAAGTGATTAGGGAAGACTATATAAATATGTATACCTCTTGTGGGGTTGCTTCAGGATTGTCAGAAACGATCATGACACATGAAAGAAAGTAATGGAGTTAGATATAGACTTAAGATTTTATATCAAATGTGAACTTAACTATATGAAAATTTGAAATTTCTACAGAATCAACCTTGCTTCAATAGTTCTTGCCTTCTTGGTCCGTCCCTGAATCGGGTGATATTTTACGAGATGAACTACATGATTATATCATAAAATACGTGCTCAAAAGTCAAAACGCGTACCAGTGAACCCATTCACGCATGCTTGGCTCTTTGGGGCTCGGCGCATCAGTGTCAGTCATCACGTGGTTTAAAAACCATCAACATGCATAATCAATTGTCACACTCAGGCATATCGACAAACATTAAACACTCATAATTATAACCCAATTCAAGTTTAAAAAAGAAGAAGATAACGAACCAAAGTATAAAACTGGTCGGAGAATCGATGGCGACTTTAGGAGGGTTGATAGCCATGGAAGGCTTAATGTCACAGCCGTTGCTGACATGCTTGGAACCGTAGTAGACGGACATGGTGACGGTGGGAACAAACATGTCGATCACATCGCCGATGACACGACCGACGACGAGAGGATCGACGGAGGTAGTCATGGGAAGAAGATGAAGAGAATTGGTAATTGGTGCAGTTGAGCCGAAAAGGTTTATAGAGTGGGGAAGAGGGGGGTTAGATTAGTGTGACGTAAGTGGCAAGCATAGGGCATTAAAAAGTGAAATCAGCCAGAGACTGCCACGTGCTTCCCCTACCAGCTGTTGAAAAGGTAGCTGCTAGTCCTTTTGTTTTTGTATCCTAGTAATGCAACCAATCTCTACTATAATTTTTTTAATAACCTTATAAATTACACAAAATATTAGATATGTTACTATAAAATTATAGGATAAAAGTATGTATTTTGTGTTCCATATATTCTTGTAATTTCATTTTCATCATTCAAATATTCTTTTTCAAAATCACACTTAATCGGATGTAAATATAGTCTATAAGAATCTAAATTTCTTTATATTAATTCTTTATTTTGTTAATAATGTCTAACTTGATTTATTTGTATTCATCCTATATAAAAAAAAATTGTTATTAATATATATATATATCCTCAAAAAAAATTGAATCACACATCATACCTATCATTATATTTTGATTTTGTTTTAGTTACCCATTGTTAAAAAATAAACAAAACTACTAATATGATATTTTTATTTTTTTAATGACGATGTAGTATTATCTTATGATGATATATCAGCAATCGTTAATTTTTTTAAGGGTAAACTTCATCAATGGTCACTAATGTTTGATTAAGTTTCAAAAGTAACAAATTGGCCACTAACGTTTGATTAAGTTTCAAAAGTAATAAATTGATCACTAACGTTATCGATTTGTAATAAAATTGTCACTCCATTGTTATCTCCATTAAATTGATGATGTGACAACAATAATAAAAAAGTTAATATTCAGTTTTACCCTTAAACTACTGTTAAAACATCAAATAAGTCATTGAACAATGATTTTATATAAAATTACCCCAAAACTTTTTAATTTGATAATATAAAAGAATATATCCACCTTATCGAATTAAACCAGCATATAGCTAACACCAAGAATTATGAGCAAAAGTGAAGCAAGTTTATGATCGTTTATTCACCAACAATTGAGTTCGTCACAGTTATGGTTGTTATACCTAAAATCGAAGTGGATGTTACATACTAATCTGCTTCAAATGCAACTGCGCATAAATAATAATACAAAAATAAAGAATGATCAAAGCAATGTCAAGAGTTTAAACGTTCAATAGTATTTGGTTCCCTTATGTATAACTATCTACAACAAAATCTCTTAGTTTTGCTGGAATTAAAGAAACCCTAAAAGAAAATCCATTGTAAATCAACATATTAGATTCAATTATGATATTTAAGCATGGTAAAATTATGGTCCCAAGAACTAAACAAAAGAAAATTTTCTTAGTTATAAATAAAGCGTGTATGTTTTAAATCTAGGTATAAGCATATACAAACTAGAAATCTGTTAGTTAGATTCAAAGAATACTTTTCTACATTTTAGTGTTAGTTGTATTATTTGTTTTGAGTGGAGAAATGGTGGAGAGATAAATGGGTTGTTTCTGTGTCAGCTAAAGCTTTTTAGGAAGATATCTGAAAATGAAATGAAGTTAGGTAACACAAAATCGGTAAACGATGGAAACCGAAGATAAATGGGTTGTTTTGGTGTCAGATGAAGCTTTTTCTACAAGGTATCAGTCATTTGCTCCCTGGTTTGGATGGTTAAGTCTGCTCAAGATATCAACTTCAGCACATAATCCATGTTATCCTTTAGCTTATTTGGATGGTGACGCCTCCATTTTCTTGATTGCAACAACCTTCATAATACAAAAAGATAACATTTGTATGTTTTCTATTTCCCTTTGGTTCATCGCCGCCTATTGAAGCATAACTCATGCATGGAGCAAACATAGCTATTGCTACACAAACATTAGAAAAAAATTATAAATATCCATTGATCGTTGTTATTAAAAGACCAAATTCAAAGATTTAAGTAAAAGCTAACCCACCATTTTCTGGTCATTCGTCAATAATGTTAACGTTCTAAGTAACACTGTCAGTCTCGTATCCTTTTTAGAAGTTTACAAATTGACTAATCCTCAATTGACAATCGTTTGAACCTCTTCTTTTTTCAAAATAGAAAATTATGGGGTAAAATTTGATATAAATTATTGTTCAAAGACCTATTTGATGTTTTAATACTAGTTTAACGGTAAAACCGAATATTAACCTTTTTATTAACATTATCACGTCATCAATTTAACGGATATAATAATGGAGTGACCATTTTATTAATAACATTAGTGACCAATTTTGTAACTTTTGAAACTTCAATAAAAAAAATTACTCAAACATTAGTGACCATTAGTGTAATTTACCCATTTTTAACAACATCCGATCACAACGATAAATATGATTTTGAAGAAAAATAGTTAAATGACCAAATAAAAAAATATGAGAATATATTGATGACTAATAGTCGTTTACCCAAAATATAATATGAGATAAATCTATGCATGAGTTACTAAAGATATGTAACGTCTAAATATTCATACGTTACCAGCTCTTTTCATCTGTGTCAGTTTGTGTAGGAAAAAGATTGCAAGGAAAGAAAGATATGCAACAAGGAACGGAAATTATGAGAAGAAAGAGGAGGGAATTTTTTTTATTTAAATATTTATTAATTTAAATATATACAGAAACATTTTTAACATTTTTCAAATAATGTATATGAACAATTCGAGGTTAATGAATAACGACGCAAAATCAGGAACCATTGCTGTCGAGGCCATATCGCCAAGGCCGACATTTCCGAGCCTTGGATTTCATAGTTTATTCAACATAACGGCACAACTCATACACAAAGTCAAAAAATAAATAGGAATAACAAATAACACAAGGGGGGAAACCTAACCGGAAAAATTGTCATGTTTTATCGCTTGTTTTACTAGTCAAAGAGCTTTCAAGGGAAACCTGATCGAAACTCAACGATTATTATTCGAGCGCACAAAGGAAACGGAGGATACACAACTTCTAATGGCAGGTACGAGGAGGAGGCAATCGAAGGGCATCAGTTTTGCCTCCTTCAGTTACCTGCATCTCTACTGTAGAACAGGTCAAGGGTTTTTGCTGGTATACGGTGGAGAAGTTCACGAGGGAATATGCGGAGCAGCGTCCATGCCAAATCCAGTGACTGAAAGATGTTGCGGGTGTCATACGCTCCTTGGGTAACGAATTTCCTTTCAATTTTATTCAAGAACTCCAAGTATAGCTGTCACGGTCAGGGACATCATGTTAGGTTCCTTCTAAGCAATTGCTTGACCAGAAAATGTTGCAAGAAAATTAATGAAGAAATGGAAATGAGAAAAACCAGATCCTCGGAAGAAAGTGCTTCTTCTCCAACCACAGCTTTCATGGCCTGCACGTCCTTCCCGATAGCATAGTTTGCATACAGCTGATGGTTAAAGGATTAAGAAACAGAAGCAGAGTTAGATGCCTTAACATAAAACGGAGGAGTGAAAATTTGAAATTATGCAATACAGTCATACCTGGTTAGACACATCGGCATGATCCCTGCGTGTCATCCCCTCACCGATGGCACTCAACAAAAAAAATAAAGAAAAGAATGGTTACAATCTATGTTGCACTGATACGGATACGGACGGAAAACGATAATTTCTAAAATTAAAGGGTATGGGGACAGCAAGGGTACGGCATATAAAAAATTTTAAAATTATAAATAGATATAAAAAATCGTAAATAAAGTTAATACTTCATTGAAAATTAAAAATAAAATTCATAAATAAATTATAATATTAAATTATCAAATCTCAATACTCAAACAATAAATTAAGTCTAAAATAATATAAACAACACAAATCAAACATTGTTAACATATTCCAAATTAGAATAAGTACTCCAATTTTTATTGTTTTTTAGTACCTACTTTTTTTTAAATCATGCATAACATTTAGTTTAAGTTTCAATTTGGTATTCCATCGTGAAAAAATTATAGATCTATTGACATGATATATTTTATTTTTTCTCACTAATGATGTAGCATTATTTTATAATGACAAGTCAATATTATCGTTAAGTATTTAACGTTAGGAATGATTTTAAAAAAAATAAAGTTTAGATACCAAAACAATACAAAAATAATAATTTAAGTATTAAATGGGTAGTTTACCCAAGTCTAATAATTGATTTTTTTATGCCAGCTTCACTCTGTTGTTTAGACATTTAGTCTTCGTCTTTTTCTTTGGCTATACAAGTTTTACTTCATAAATACTTCAACAGGTAAACAAATTTAGCTTCTTTTCTTCTCTTCTTTTAGGTTGTCTTGTGATTTTGTTGTTCTATGTTTTGCTATTCCTGTGTTTGGTGGCTAAGAAAATCTGGGAAAGTGAGGAGCCAAAAGATCTCCCATTTTCAGCTTTCCCCAACTGATGGAAGCTTCATCGGAACCGTTGAGTATTCCTGACCGGGGACGTATGTGATAATCACATACTGTCCCTGAAACATTCCCAGATCCCGATCGACTGTCCCTGAGATTTTTCAGCCGTACCCTGCCACCGTGGCACGTGTCCGGTAGGTCCTCATGTTGTCCCCGTGTCGTCCCCGTACGGGGATGTATTGGGTACTTGAAACGAGACTGGTATGCCGTCCCCGTGCTACATATGTTACAATTCATAGTAATTTATGGTTTGTACATTTTTTTATCTTTGAAGATGAAAACTATCCTCCAAGGAAATCAAGAGCTTCAACTAATGAGTGCTATCCAAACCTTCATCAGATGAGACAGCGACGGAAGCACATTGATTGGTGGGTATATCTGTCCAATTCAGAACGAAGGAAAATTTATTAATTAAAAAAATAAACTAAATTGTTATTCATACAAAAAAGAAATCCATATTCACTAAAATCCATTTTGAAAACAGATGAATGTTGTCAACATAACACACCATGACGAGCCATATTCAACCCATGTCAACTTGGGAAATTTACTAACGCAATGCAATGATGGAGGAGATACAGTTCCCATTAAAAAAAATCATACTAAAAATGAAATTTATGTATAAATCGATGAGAAACATGGTGATAATGTGTGAACCTTCGTATCTCCCAGATACACAAGTTGATAGCTTGTAAAGGCTATATTTAACATTACTTGTCTAATGTGACGATGAGTGCGGCAAAAGAGCATGTGACGTGGTCATTTTTTTGGAGGAGTTTAAGAATAAATACATAGGGGATCAGTTTATCTGGCAGATGAAACATGAATTTATGAATTTAAAGCAAGGGAATCGTACGGTGTATGAGTTTGAGTGTGAATTCAATAAATTGAGCCGATTTGTTGTTGAGTTAGTTCGTACAGAGAATGACTCTTGTGATTGGTTTGTGAAGGGGTAAGACCCCGATTAAAAGAGCTGTTGTTGGCTCTTAACCTCTCTTCATTCCAAGAGGTTGTGAACCGAGATAAAGCCCTGGAGTGAGCTCAAAATGAAAGATTTGTGGAGAAAAGGATGCAATGGAATAAAAGATTTGGTGCATCGTCCAACTCTTTGCAATCAAAGAAGAGTAGAGGTTCAAGTTCTTGACCTTAGACCATGGAAGAATCCGTAGCATCCTCGAGTAAGGATCAAATCCGGGAAGAGCCAGACAAGCTTATTCAGTGGAATCTGGAGTGGACAAGCCGAAGCAATGTCAGTACTGTGGGAAAAACCATAATGGAGTATGCAGACGGGTCTCCAAAGCTTGTTTTAAATGTGGAGATGCATGGCATTTTATTAGAGACTTCCCAATGATGACTGGAGAGACTGCCCAGACAGAGAGATCAATGGCTGCACTAGTGAGAGGAAGAGGTCGAGGAAGAGGAAGAAATCAATCCGAGTCTACTGCTCAACCTGAAGTGCGTTCTGTCGCTCGAGTTTACAATCTGAAGACCAGTGAAGATTTTAATGATCCAAAAATCATTGCAAGTACCTTTCAGATAACTGGTAGATCTGTTTTAGTTTTGATTGATTCAGGATCGAATTATTCTTTTGCCAGTAGTAAATTGGTTAAAGAGTTGAACCTTTCTTTAGAGCCTATTCGTAGTGAGATGATTGTGACAAATCCATTATGAAATAGTGCTCGAGTGAGACAAGTCTATAAAGGGTGTCCCATAAGGATTCAGGGAATTGAATTCCCTACTAATCTAATAGAATTACCCTTTAATTAATTTGAGGTTATTCTGGGGATGGATTGGCTTTATCATTATTATGCTAACTTGGATTGTCGACTTAAGCGAGTGCAGTTAACAAGTCTTGAGGGATTGGAAGTTAGTGTGGTCAGCGAAAGAATCTATTCTTTAGCTAATGTGATATCAGTAATGTCGGCTCAGAAGTTGATGCTGCAAGGATGTCAAGCATACATTGCTAATGTATATGTGGCATTTTGGTGCAAATTACGAGTTGTGATGACAGTATTTTTGCACAACCTCATAGTACTCAAATACCTAGATTTTTAGTAGTATACCTTGGGCAATTGGAACAAAGAAATACAAAGTATAATTATTTATAAGTATACATTTGATATGGAAATCAATAAAGCTCTTTGAAAAACAGTTTTAATAAAACAAATAAGGTTTTGCTTAATAAGTTAACACTATTAGTTTTACCTCACTAAGTCATCGACTTAGTGTGTGTTCTCTCATGCGTAGGGTTGAAGAAAGTTGCAGATTGATTTAGGTTGAGGATAGCATACACGACTGAAGAACAGATCAGTACAAATTAAATGTATGTTGCTCATTTTGTAAACTATTGGCATGTATTATACGTTTAATTTGAAATACTCTGATCGATTTTGTAAACTTATATATTTTGTATTTTGTAAACTCTTACTTTTGGGTATTTATGTAAATTATTAAGATTTGTTTTGTGAAATAACTTTCTATTTAGAATGTGACTATTTTTATTTATCTTGATTTGAATAATAAAGTTTCTATTTATGAATTTCTTATGTTTTGAAAAGTCAAATGTGACACCTCATATTCGTATATGGGTCGGGTACGGGTCAGGGGTGTTACATTTAATGGTATTAGAGCTATAGTTTAAGTGATTTTAAGTCCAAAATAAAATCGTGTTTGGTTTTAAAAGAGTACATGCCAATTTGTAATAAAGTCTTTTTGATCTGATAAGGGATCAATATGTTATCCTTGCTAATAGCTTTAGTAATTTGATCTTAATATATATCGAACTTTGAAGGCTCCTAAAGTGATGCGGGAGATAAAATGGAAGAAAGTAGTAACTCCCTTGCCCCTAGCAGACAGGGTGAGGAGCAGGCACAGCCTGGAGTGCCTGTTCAAGATCAGGGGACGTTTTTTCAGACGTTGGACGCGATTCTGACGCGTTTCGAACCGTCTGTCTCCTCAGCCCCTAAGATAAATGTCTCTAAAGAAATGAGGAGTTTAGGAGCCCCTGATTTTAGGTGAAAAACGGAAGAATGTCCGGTTGCGGCTGATATATGGCTCAATGATTTGAAAACGATGCTAGAGAATCTCTATTGTTCTGAAATGGAGAAATTGGATGGTGTAGTTTCGTTATTAAGAGGCCAAGCCAGGATATGGTGGTCTAATGTGACGATGAGAGTGGCAAAAGAGCATGTGACATGGTCATTATTTTTTGAGAAGTTTAAGAATAAATACATAAGGGATCAATTTATCCGGCAGATGAAGTAGGAATTTATAAATTTAAAGCAAGGGAATCACACGGTGTATGAGTTTGAGTGTGAATTCAACAAATTGAGCCGATTTGCTGCTGAGTTAGTTCCTACATAGAATGACTCTTGTGACTAGTTTGTGGAAGGGTTAAGACCCCGATTAAAAGAGTTATTGTTGGCTCTTAACCTCTCTTTATTCCAAGAGGTTGTGAACCGAGATAAAGCCCTGAAGTGAGCTCAAAATGAAAGATTTACGGAGCAAATGACGCAATGAATTAAAAGATTTGGTGCATTGTCCAGTTCTTCGCAATCAAAGAAGAGTAGAGGTTCAAGTTCTCGACCTCAGACCAGGGAAGAATCTGCAGCATCCTCGGGTAGATGATCAAATCTGGGAAGAGCCAGACAAGCTTATTCAGTGGAATCTGGAGTGGATAAGCCGAAGCAATGTCAGTACTGTGGGAAAAACCATAGTGGAGTATGCAGACGGGTTTCCGGAGCTTGTTTTAAATATGGAGAGGTAGTGTATTTTATTCGAGACTCCCCAATGATGACTGGAGAGCCTTCCCAGACAGAGAGATCTATGGATGCACCAGTGAGAGGAAGAGGTCGAGGAAGAGGAAAGAATCAATCTGATTCTATTACTCAACCTAAAGTGTGTTCTGCCGCTCGAGTTTATAATTTGAAGACCAGTGAAAATTATAATGATCCGAAAATCATTGCATGTACCTTTCAGATAACTGGTAGATCTGTTTTAGTTTTGATTGATTCAGGATCGAATTATTCTTTTATCAATAGTAAATTGGTTAAAGAGTTGAACCTTCCTTTAAAGCCTATTCGTAGTGAGATGATTGTGACAAATCCATTAGGAAATAGTTCTCGGGTGAGACAAGTCTGTAAAGGGTGTTCCATAAGGATTCAGGG